AGGCACGACTTCCCCTTCGTGAATCCATGCTGACTGTTCCTGATCACTTTCCTCTCCTCTAAGTGTTTCATAATTGATTCCTTGAGGACCTGCTCCATGATTTTTCCAGGGACTGAGGTGAAGCTGACTGCCCTGTAGTTCCCCGGATCCTCCTCCTTCCCTTTTTTAAAGATGGGCACTACATTAGCCTTTTTCCAGTCATCTGGGACCTCCCCCGATCGCCATGAGTTTTAAAAAATAATGGCTAATGGCTCTGCAATCTCATCCGCCAACTCCTTTAGCACCCTCGGATGCAGCGCATCCGGCCCCATGGTCTTGTGCACGTCCAGTTTTTCTAAATATTTACTATAAGAAGAATGGAACTGAAATTTGACTAAACATGTTGGGGATAACACCCCTACTCTTAGATGATGTGCTATGCAGTTTTTAATGACTGCTAGGGATTGGAACCATCCAATTTATGGTAGCACAGTATCCTGCAGTAATACATGGGGCACTGGTTCTGTACTAAGGGGTTAATCATACGAGGTGCCAAGTGGCCTCATTTGAATAAACCCTTTAACAAAGGATTTAATTCAATCAGAGAGAGTGGCAGGTCCTCAGTCCCTTTAAGGCTTGGGGTTTTAGAGAGAGGAGGGCCAGCTAGTGCATCATATCCACAACTTCTTGCAGGCTATGAGTCTTCCTTAAGCAATCTCCCATCTGGGTTGTGTCGCACTCAACTCTGCTTGGATTGTGAAATCAGACCAACTTCATTAGACTGTAATTATTCCAAGTGTAGCAATCTCTTCCGTACACTTGGAATGCTTAGTTCTCAAGCCATGCACCTCCTCTTCAGATAGCGATGGGGAGGAATTCCAGCAAATGAGACAAAACAAGCATTCTACAGCCCGCAGCACTGCATGCGCTACATGCCCAGGCTGAAGTTTGAAAACAAAGGCCTTTGAACTATCCCAGACACAGAAACAAAAAATGTCTTAAGTTTCCTAAGAGGCAAATAACCCCAAGATGACTACAAAATGCCTCCCCCCTCTGGGCTAAGCCAATCTGCGAGAAGTTTCAGCAAAGAAGATTATTCTTGGTGAGACAGTTATATAAGCAATTGGAAACAGGTGGTGGACTCCAGCTGCAGAGGCACTGAACACCTTGGAGTGGCAGGCTCCAGGTCAGTCTTAACTATAGTGTCTCAAAACCAAATACTACCTTAAACTAGGTAAGGTGCCCCGAGCCACCTGACTTGTTGCTACATGAAAAAATGAATATGCTGTGAAATTAAAAGGTAGCACATTTAAAATATTGGAAACATTGGAACTATATATAATATACATGTGTTAGATATCCTGCAGAATTTACTACTACAGGCAATACAGGATAGTAGGCTTGCTATCTAGAGTAAGAAGTTACAAGGCACAGTTTTGTTAAGAACACAACTTTGTCTTTGGGCAGGAAGGAATTCCTTTTTCTCCTTCCCAAATTGCATAAATGGTCAGGTTCATTGTCGAGTCATTTCACTTTATTTCAGCATCAGGTCAGGCACTGGTCACAACTGGAGGCAGTATCTGAAACTTGATGGTGTATCAACAGTGCTGTTTGAATGGTTATACAGTATAAATGGACTTGCATACTGTAGTGATGGGAACAATACAATCCCCTAGACAGCCTAGAATGATCTGATATGGCAAGATAAATCCAGTGGACTGGCTGAGGTTGCTAGAACTCTAGTTGAAGTCAGTGGAAAGTCTGCATGAAGAAACTCTGATCTCACTTATCCGGTTGTAATTCTGTTGACATCAGTGGAGTTACTTCTGATTTGGACTGTTGTGAGGTCAGTCACGCTGTACAAAACTAATTTTTAGTAAAACAGTCTCTTTCTGCAGTTTTTCCTCTTTTTCTAAAACTGTTCACAGTGTTATATTTGAACGAGTAGCTGGAAAAAGTCTCTCTGGAAATGCTTACCGCTCTATCATTACCACACTCTGGTTAACTACTACTATTGGTTCTCTTTTTGCAGACATACTGACTGTGCTTATTTCTGGTGGCTCTGCTGGAGTGTTTGGGTGGGCCGTAGCTACTCCTATGGATGTAATTAAATCACGGATGCAAGTAGATAACTTGGGCCAGCGCAAGTACAGAGGACTTATACACTGCATCCGAGTCAGTGTGAAAGAAGAAGGAATAAGAGTTCTTTTCAAAGGACTTGGATTAAACTGCATTCGTGCTTTTCCAGTGAACATGGTGGTGTTTGTAACATACGAAGGCGTAATGAGACTTGCAGAACATCTTATGAAGTAAAAGGATGTTACATCATTCGGTTCTAAGGTGGCTGCTTCCTTTGAGAAGACTTTTCATATAACAGAACACTCAAACAACAGTCCACCAACAGAGGTCTTGGGTGAAATCAGTAGACTTATGGGGGAGTGAAATGCAGAATTGGAGAGAAGTGGCTGATGACTACTACATTGTGTCCATTTAGTTGTCTTGTCGAGTTGTCTCCTACTTTTGAATAAACTTGATCTAACTTGTGTAGCACCTCTCTCCACTTGGTTACCTGTTTTAGCGGAAATATCCTTATAGGCTTTGATGGACAGGCGTGGGTTTTTCTGGATCCTGCCTCAGCTCAGTAGGGTGTAACTTCTGTATTCCCATATGAATTTATTTGGCGGTGCCTCCACCCCCCTTGCTCCTTCCTGGCAGGGCAGGGTCACCAGGGCAACTTGGAAGTAAAATTCTAACCATGGGTAACCCCCACTTACTTGCCAACTCCCAAGAAATAACACAAACACAGTAATTATATTAAACAGGAAGCAAATATCACAGGGTAAAACACTACTCTCAGGGTCACCGGTGCCCACACTGATAATATCCGTCAATTTCCCCAGTCATGTGACCTGATATAGCAAATGTAAAATTAGTGTCCCGTTGGTGTACGCACTTTGTAGGAGCCGTTGACCACAATATTGTCTGAGCAGCAATTAGCAACTTGACTGATTTGGCTTAGTGCAGCTCAACAGACTCTCACTTGGGATAAGGCGGTAAGCCCCTCCACAGGTTAATAGGCAGGATTTTTCCCAACAAAGCCCTCTAAACTGGGAGTTGCCTCGAAGAAAGGGCCAAGCTGAGGGATTTTGCATCCAGAGACCATTTCTCAGGGGGAACCCTGCATGCAGGCCCGGGACTCACCAGCTCCTCACACTGCCAATCCTGTCCTTTTTGTGTCTGGCTCCAGACTGCTCCAACGTAGCTCCTCCCGCCTCCAGGGCTCCCGGGGCAGGTATCTCCCTTCCTATTGGTCCAGCTCGTTATTCTTCCTGAGGTTGCACTTGCCAATCATTTGACTCTGCCCCCCTCCTTGCTCTCAGACACTGCCCCTCCTGCCAGCAGGCACCCTGCTGTCCTCCTCTGGCCAACAGGGGCCCTGGACGCTCAGTGTCTCTTCTCTCGCCCTCTCCCCCTCACTGTTGCCTAGCAAAATAAAAACTGGTCTTCACTCCACATGCGTGATTAATAAAACAAACAAGCCCACTTTTGCTGTAAGTCTAACACCGTACACTGTGTATGTACCACAGATACAGGTAAATTGCAAATATACCAAGCAAAGTGTTTTTGATGTGTGAATGCTGGGATCCAGGAACTGACTGTTCTGTTTTGCTTAACGTTGCCTTGACCATGAGCTATTAATTGCAACTTTAATTATCAGAGAACTATTTCTTCTGATAAATTATCCAGGCTGAAGGCCAGTCAGCACAAGGAAGACAACACATTTGCCATGCTGATTACCAAACGTATTTTGCCAGAAACTGCAGCTTTCTGTGTAAACAAGTCTCTTTTATAATGTGAAATTAATGGCCTTACGCTTAAAGCAGTGTTGCGGCAGAGGGGGCCAGTCTGCTCCGTATATTTTTGTCTTGCCATTTACTTCCTGTTTCTGAGGCAATGTTCTCAACTATTGCCATGTGGTTTCCAGGATGCATCACACTAAGAAGTGAGGCAATTTAGCGAGGCTAGTCACAAGGAGTATTTGTCATTCTCAGCCACCCTTCATTCTAGAGAGCCATATTTCCATTTTTGAGTTCCTCTTGTCATGCCAAACCTTCTGAGACACTGCAGCAATAGCTTTCATACCCTTAACTTCCCCCACATAGTTCATCTGTAGATAGCTCTCCAGCTTTACTGCCCTGTTATGGGGCGCTGGAGACTGACTCCGAGCTCAGGTCCACCTGGCAGTACGCGGTGAACAGAACCTCTTGGGGGAATCCTTAATTCACAGAAACTACAGAGGATCCAAACTTGGGGGCAACTTCAGGCCTTGCAGACTTTGGACAAGCAATATCTGCGAGTGACTGATCCAATCTTCACAAGAACAGGGAAAGGGGCTAAAAGAAAAGTGTGAAATGAAAGTAGATGCCCTCATTAAGTACCGGGAGCGGAAATGGAGAAATTAAACACAGACTTATGTCAACTCAATCCATATTTTTATTATACGGAGATGAACAAAATACCAGTAAGTCAAGGTAAAGTTTTCAGCTGATCATTATCTGACAAAAGCTCTCAAGGATTTCACTGAGGCTTTTGAAGACTCTGTTCTCCCCAGCCTCTGGGATTTGTTGAGTGACATTTTCCAGTGGAAATTTGAGTTTGTCAGTCTCCATTGGGAAATATTAATCATGCTGTTGCTATATATAAACTTCAGTTTTCAGAAACATACTTTTTGTAAGCAATCACTGCAGTACTTTATTAAAGCGTTATATCAGCAAACATGTTTAATTCATTCTGTTTTCACATTCTTCTAGTGCTCGCCAGCTTAAATACAAAATAATTCTGTACATCTGAGTTAAAAGTTACAGAATTGCACACTCTGTTCCCCTTTCTTCTATAGTAATGTAAGTTTATTGAAACAAATTAGGACATATAGTGCTGCACTGCTTGGGAAATCTGCACAAACACAAGAAATTTGCATTGGAAGTTCTTCAAAGAAATGAGAAAAATATCCATAATCCCATAATACTCTACAATATTGAGAGTGTGGATCAAACAGGGTTAAAGTTGGATTGTGGGAAACTAGAAAGGTCACCATTAAAAAGTCCACATTAATCAAACAGTTAACTTCTCACATACGGAGACAGTGTTTCACCTTTCTAATACAGGGTCCATACCCTCTTCAAGTATGACAGGATGGAAATCAAGTTAGTTTGCCTACAGGCTGGGAAGGACGATAGATAGAAATTATTTTAATTTTTAAATACTTGGAGGTGCTCGGATACTATGGTGATGTGATGGCCTATATAAATGGGTAGCTGTTGGTAAAGTTGACTTCAGTGTACTAAACCCAGTGAGATTCTTATCTGTGACATCAGGCCACCATATTTTAGGAGAAAAAACTAAGCACTTTGTTTTGTAGCCTGTTTTGCTAACTCTTATAACCCTAAGTCAAGCACTTAGGTTAATTATTTAGGCTTGATGCTAACTGATTACACCTCATACTTTTAGAAAAGTCTGTTACAAATACACATTTGATTTCCCCTACTTGCATTACGGCTTTATTTATTTTTATTTTCAACATCTTTAAGCTTCTTAACTTTTCCTAACATATCGATTATAGTTTGATTTTAGGCATAAACCTCCCAAGATCAGGTCAGGGGTGAACGGTAGTTTTCAGCACATAAATAATGAAGTTTAAACATGTGGTAGCAAGATCCCAACTTTAACAAGTTTCATAGTTACCTCCTGGTCCCAGGTGGACGCATGTCCACATCATACTAAAAAACCACTCAACATACTCCTGAGCAGCAGCTGCCAGTTGTGCCAAATTGTGAGACCGCAGGACCCGAGTGCATTGGCAGAATTTTGAGGATGGGAAGGGAGAAATTGTGCATTGTCTGCTAGCTCTAAGCAGGACTACTGTATTAGTCCTTCATGTTCTCATGCATTGAACTTAATGGAAGAGCTCCCATTGACTGCAGTGGGCTTTGGATCAGACTTTAAGTTAACCCATTAAACATCTCCCTCCTTTCCCACAATAAACCTCTGTGATGGAATCCCTGAGGTGCAGCCTGGGGCTGTGGGACCGCTGTGCCCCCTGAACTCTCTTCAGCCTGGGCTGTCTCTCACAATGCCTGGCTAGTGACCAGCAACAAACCCCTCCAGGCGCTGTTATCACTCAGCACAACCGCATGTGGAGACCCCACACCCAGCTAGATTGCATGAATGCTCCCAGAGACACTCATGAACCAGACAGAGAAAGGCACCAGAGCCGAATCCCCCCAGCTCCTAGTACTGTACCTCAGGAAAATACCGTCTTGCACTGCTCAAGACGAGCAGTGCAAATTTATTAATTGGTTCACTACTTCATCAATGGAAAGTGAATATACACCAGCCTTTGCAAACCTGAGCAGATTTGCCACAAACTCCCTGGTAAAGGTAAACAGTAAAAGTAGTTTACTGACTACAAAAGATAGATTTTAAGTGCTATTAAGTGATAGGCAAAAAGTCAGAGTTAGTTACCAAAAGAAAATAAAATATTACCCCCCAGTCTAAACTCTCAACCCTATTAGATTGGGCAACATTTAGATTAAGCAGTTTTTCTCACCCCACTGGATATTGCTGTCCATAATATATAGATTTCACCCTTGAAATCTGGGCCAGTCCCCTCAGTTGGAGTCTTCAGAGTGTCCTTGTTGCTTGCAGCATAGGTGGGTGAAGGAGAAAGGCCAAGCCTGGGCCCCTGTGTTCAGTTTTATACCCTCAGTCCATGTGCTTGTAGAACATAAGTCCAGGCATGCCTGGGGGGCATTGCTGAGTCTCCAGGCAAAGTTGAGCAATCCCCTTGGTGTGGCCTCATGCAGGTGAGTCATTGAATTGTAGCTCCCTTGCTGGACAATGGCTGTTGATGAGTTGTTCAACGCTCGGGCGGGGTGTCAGTTACTTTCCTTGTTGTTGCCTCTGGAGAGCTAATATCTGGCTGATTCCCCAATTTACAGCATGTTTTAGTGACAACCATACAACACAACTCTCATAACTTCACATGCATTCATAATATACATATGTGGACAGAGAAATGACTTTCAGCAGATCATAACTTTCCCCTGATACCTTACAAGGCATGCTTTATATGTAAATTATATAATTATATACAGATGAGGAATATGGGGGGTTACAGGCTGCTCCCCCAAGGTACAGAATGTCACACCCTCTATCTAGTAAGGTATGAAAAAAGTTGGGAGTGTACCTTTACATAGGTAAAGGACTCCCCTAGGGCACTGTTCATTGTACAAACACCTCAGACTTTGGTATGCATGTGCCCAGGTTCTACAGTATGGAAGTCCTGACAAATTGCTTTTTCAGGGGGTTCAAACTACCTATCACCTTTCATACCACATACATAGTTTACTGAATCAACCTCTAATGGATGGAATCTTACAAACAGTCCTAGCTACTTTCATTTCATTTTAAATGACTGTCAAATATTACAACATAACTCTGTTTTCAGTGCTCAACTGTATTTCCAATTCTATCATCCAGACAGGTATGAGTTATAAATACACATAAATTGTTATACTTTAGATCCAGTCTAACGAATAATGTTTTCAGCACTATCAAAAAATGTCAGTTGATTGTTTGTATTGCTATTGCATGTATTGCACTAAAGATTGTAAGGGTCTGTTGCTTAAAGAAATTGGACATGGAAATATTTTATGGGGTATTTCAAGGAAGTAGATTTTCTAACAAATGAACAACTTAAAAGGAATACCTCAGTCATAAGGGGTTTCTCAGCATAATCTGAGGCATTTTAGATCCCGGTAATGAAAAAGTAATTTGCATTTCTATAGTGTGTTCCATCTGAGGATAAAAACTTTACAAGCATTAGTGAACTTGGCCCAGTGTCTGGGGAGGTCAGTATTATCACTCCACTGTTACAGATGTGGAAATGAAGGGAGAGAAGATTCTGTGACTTGCCAAAAGGCTGTGGCAGAGTCAGCGTGACTCCCAGTTCTCTGCTTTAGCAACAGAGATACTCCATATCCATTTAACATTGGGAACATATTCCTGTACAATGTACCCTGAAAAACTCACCTACTGCGTATGTGCAATATGTCCCTGAGCAGCCACCATTATAACCCAGTCCCTTAAGCTGAGAAACACAGGATAAAAAAAGTTGGATCTACTAAGAACTTCATTTCTTTTTGAGCTATGGACTCTTACTAGCATATCTAGAACAAGTTAGACTTTGGCATTACAATAGAAATTTTATTATTATATTTTAGTATTTTCAACTTAAGTACAGTAATAGGGTCCTCTGCTAACTAACATGGTTCGCCAAAGAATCTGGCAGCTGTCATTTGTGTTACAATGAAATTGATACCTCACCTAACAAGTTTTGGTTTTTTAAATACAGATCTGAATAATGTCTTAACAATTCTTCCAAATAGTCACTGATCGTACACTGCAAATAGCTTGTTAAGAGCAACATTTATAAAGCACTGATTGCAGCCTTTGCATAATTAAGGAGTGATGACAATTCAGTCTATTTCCTACCTATTGATAAATTACATCTACATCATTAAAAATCGAATGCCAGTTTCCGTGGAGTCATAAATTGTTTCACCATTTCATCTGTGATCTGTTTGCGTCTCTGCTGATGAGCTGCTACCAAGGGCTGTAGTGTTTCAATAAGCACCTTCTTTAGCTCTCCTGTGAGCAGTGCTCCGCTTGTGTAAGCCTGCCAAGAAAGTGTCAGTTGTTAAAAACTACTCCGGTAATTGGAAAAGAGCCTCAATGTTGAGCAGAATCTCTTTAAAAACACAACTGGCAAATAAAGATTTGCATGTATATTAAAATTATGTACGTCAGAAGATCACCTGATATCACACTGGTAGTGTAATCTGCAACATCACTCACTGATTTTTAAAGGGTTTAGCAACACAGTACAGCAAGTTCTTTTATTTAACATGCTTCTGTGAGTAAACTAAGGGAGCAGAGTTTTAACTTGAAAATCCAGTTACAGTAAAAGCTGTTTTATCCAGCATGGTGGGGGAATGGAGGGGGGTGCCAGTAAGTGAAAAATGCCGGTTAACTAAGAGGGAGGGAGTTTGGGTGCAGGAGAGGGTGAGGGGCATGGGCTCTGGGAAGGAGTTTGGGTGCAGAAGGGGCTGGGGGCTGAGGCGCGGGAGAGGGTGTGGGGTGCGGGCTCTGTGAGGGAGTTTGGATGCAGGAGAGGGCTCAGTGCAGCGGGTTGGAGCATGGGAGAGGGTGCAGGGTGCCGGATCCGGGGGGCGCTCACATCAAGTGGCTTCCTGCAAGTGGCGACCCGTCCTGGCTCTTCCTAGGCAGAGGTGTGGCAGGCGGCTCTGCGTGCTGCCTCTGCTTGCAGGCGCTGCCCCCACAGCTCCCATTGGTTGTGGTTTCCAGCCAATGGGAGCTGTGGAGCTAGTACTGATGCAGTACTAGGAGATTTTCAGGAAAGCACTCAGACAGCGTGTCCCACTGTGCTCCTGGAACACACAAGGACTTGGCTGCAGTATTCCCAGGGGATCAACGACTTCCTCAACTCTGCTTCCTTCCCTGTTCAGGGAAAGTTGTGTGGGGAGAGCTAAAGAGAAATTGGTAGCTCCTAGTCTTTCTTACAGCTATTCTGAGTGGGGAAAGTCAACAAATTAGTCTTGGTATAGTTGCTTTCAGTGGTGAGTGAAAGTACTGCTTTCCAAAGAACACATGTGCTGCTTAGACCCATCAATGATCCTTACAGCTAGAGGGGTGAGTGGACCCTGCCACCAATCCCAGGATGAGGAGTTCTTGCGAGGTAGGTTTTAGAGGGAAACTACTTATACTAGTGAGGCCTTAGTGTGAACTTCATTGTATATAAATTAGGGCTGTCAAGCGAGTAAATAAAATTAACCGTGCAATTAACCGCACTGTTAAACAATAATAGAATACCATTTATTTAAATATTTTTGGATGTTTTCTAAATTTTCAAATATATTGATTTCAATTATAACACAGAATACAAAATGTATGGTGCTCACTTTATATTTATTTTTTATTATAAATATTTGCACTGTAAAAAATAAAAGAAATAGTATTTTCAATTCACCTAATATAAGTACTGTAGTGCAATCTCTTTATCATAAAAGTTGAACTTACAAATGTCAAATTATGTACAAAAAATAACTGCATTCAAAAATAAAACAATATAAAACTTTAGAGCCTACATGTCCACTCAGTCCACTTCAGCCAATCGCTCAGACAAACAAGTTTGGTTACATTTGCAGAAAATAATGCTGCCCACTTCTTGTTTACAATGTCACCTGAAAAAAAGAACTGGCATTTGCATGGCACTGTTGTAACTGGCGTCGCAAGATATTTACATGCCAGATGCGCTAAAGATTCATATGTCCCTTCATGCTTCAACCACCATTCCAGAGGATATGCATCCATGCTGATGATGGGTTCTGCTCAATAACGATCCAAAGCAGAGCGGACCGATGCATGTTTATTTTCATCATCTGAGTCAGATGCAACCAGCAGAAGGTTGATATTCTTTTTTGGTTTTTCGGGTTCTGTAGTTTCCGCATCCGAGTGTTGCTCTTTTAAGACTTCTGGAAGCATGCTCCACACCTCATCCTCTCAGATTCTGGACGGCACTACAGATTCTTAAACCTTGGGTCGAGTGCTGTAGCTATTTTTAGAAATCTCACGTTGGTACCTTCTTTGTATTTTGTCAAATCTGCAGTGACAGTGTTCGTAAATCAAACAACATGTGCTGGGTGATCATCAGAGACTGCTAGAACACGAAATATATGGCAGAATGTGGGTAAAACAGAGCAGGGGACATACAATTCTCCCCCAAGGAGTTCAGTCACAAATTTAATTAACGCATTATTTTTTTAACCAACATCATCAGCATGGAAGCATGTCCTCCGGAATGGTGGCTAAAGCATGAAGGGGCATACAAATGTTTAGCATATCTGGCACGTAAATACCTTGCCACACCGGCTACAAAAGTGCCATGTGAACACCTGTTCTCACTTTCAGGTGACATTGTATATAAGAAGCAGGACTGAGTGGACTTTGTAGGCTCTAAAGTTTTACATTGTTTTGTTTTTGTGTGCAGTTATGTAACAAAAAAAATAAAAATCTACATTTGTAAGTTACACTTTCACGATAGAGACAGAGTACTTGTATGAGGTGAATTGAAAATTACAATTTCTTTTGTTTTTCACTTTTACAGTGCAAATATTTGTAATAAAAATAGTATAAAGTGAGCACTTTACACTTTGTATTATGTGTTGTAATAAAAATCAATATATTTGAAAATGTAGAAAAACATCCAAAAGTATTTAATACATTTCAATTGGTATTCTATTATTTTAACAGTGCGATTAATTTTTTAATCGCAGTTAATTTTTTTGAGTTAATCACGTGAGTTAACTGCGATTAATCGACAGCCCTAATATAAATATAAACATGTCAAAAGTTGTGTTCGTCCATAAGGACGATCAGCATCTGAAATAAACTTGTCACTAGCTTTAAAAGCTACAAAGGGTTTAGAGACATTGCACACTACGTAAGTAGGGTTAATATGCACAATATTCTTAAAACTTTATGAAAACATATAAAAAAAGCCAAACAAAGTAGCATCGTTTAAAAAGGGGTAGAGGGAGGGAAGAGATCCTCCTACACAAGACCCCATGAAAATATATGGGGTTTGTCGTTTCCCACTTTTTAAAAAGAAAAAGAAAGTGATACACGTGTGGAGAGAATGCCACAACCATCACACACAAATCTTGATCATTTGCAGGGTTGAACTAGGATAGAGAAACCCATAAAAAGGGAGGATATAGCATTATACCATGGATATCTTCCATGAGGAGGTTCAAATAGGAGGTCTTGATTGTAGCTGGGTCCCTCCTCATGAAAAGACGAATAATAATGATCTTTAAGTTGGCTCCTTACCTGCTTCATTTTTTCAAGTTCGTCATCATCTTCAAGGAAGAAGGTGAGATACATGTAAGAGACATCAACCTCACAGTTACCCCCATACTTCCTGTGTTCTTCAATAGTATCTTTACCTCCAGAGAAGGCATGCTTGTTGATCTAGAACAACATAATTATTTGATGGTATAACTTCTGTCAAATGGGGATTACACTATAAACAGTTGATATGGAAGGGCCATAAGCACTTTTATCAACATTACATACAAAAAAAAAAAATCTACCTCAAAGACTAGTTGAGGTGCAAGCAGGAGCAGATTTGTGCAGAGCCTTAAAGGCGAGGGAAGAAGCCTGATCCTGATGCAGAAGGTAATGGGAGGACATGACTAGGGGAGTGACAAGCTGTGAGCAGCAGGACAAGATGATGATACACACAATCAACCCATAAACTGGTCCCTTAGGTCTAATTAAGTCGCATCAAGAATTTACCCAGATTTTCATTAAGAACACCTAGTCCTTTCTGCGGCAGTTGTCACCATTTGTAAGGAAGGCTATGTATTATTATTATTATTGCACAAAACTATCTTCATACAAACAAAAGCAACATTGTTAGGTATATCCTATATTCACCTCACTGAGAAATTAACTTTGAAGGAGAATGGAGTGGAGCGGACAGATTTTAGGGAGGTTAGAGAGAGAATAAAACTGGTAGGACTTAGCAACTATCAAGAGCGACAAGAGACGGAGAAGAGAGGAGCTGAAGATAATAATGGCCAAGGCTGGAAAGAGATAGTGTCCAGCACCTTCATTTTTGCTATTTGCCCTTTTTCATTTTCTTCTGTTTACAGACAAAATCCTGTTTGGGATTTACTGTATTTGCTATAACTCGGAATTCTTAGTCATATTTGAATCTTGCTAAGAGCTGGATCTTAAATGATATCTTGGGGCAATGAGTTTCATGGGCTAATTATTCATTGTCTGAAAACGTAAACATTTTTTTAAAATCAATTTTGAATTTGCCACCTTCCAATTTCATCGACTGTCCCCTTGTTCTTGTGTATGAGACAGCCTGAACAGCAGCTCACAATGTGCCTTTTCTAGAACACTCATTATTTTATATACTTTATCAAGTCTCCACTCCTCTGCACCTCCACAGTAAGGCAAACAATTCCAGTCTTTTGACTCTTCAAATGAGAATTTTCTCATGCTCTGAATCGTTCATGTTTCCAATCTCTGAATCTCATCTAATTGTGCAATATACTTGCTGAGAAGGGATGACTAGTACTGAAAGCAGAATTCCAGCTGAGGGCATACCATTGTTTCATATACTGATATAGCGTATATAATTCTTGCCCTCATTCCTTAAGCGTGCAAACATCGTTTGTTTTTTTGACTGCTTCTGCACATTGAGCATAGGGTTTCATTGAGCTGTCCACAACGATGGTCTTTTTCCTGAGCTGATAAAGTTAATTTAAAATCCAGTTAGAGGTACAAGTAGTTGAGATTATTATGCTTTATATGCATCAGCAATGAATTTCATGTACCACAGTGTTGCCCATTCACCCAGCTTGGTTAGGTCCCTCTCAAGCTTCTCAGTCTTCCAGTCTTGACTAACCTAATTAGCTTGTTCCATCTGCAAGTTTTACCACCTCACTGCTAATACCCTTTTCCAGATCATTAATAAAGTTATTAAAATCAATTCTAGTACAGAATCTTGTGGTACCCTGCTGTTAATCTTTTGCCATGATGGAAATTTGCCATTTGCCTACTCTGTTTTGTCTCTTAGTCAGTTTTTGATCAACAGACAGTACTTTGCCTTTCTCTCCATGACTTCTTAATTGCCTCTTGGAATGGACTTTTCCAAGCCCTTTGAAAGTTTAAATGAATATTAATTAGTTTTCCTTTATACAAAACTTTACTGACATGTTTAAAAAATTCTATTCTAAGCCATAATTTTCTTTTGTAGAAGAAATGCCTATCATATTGTGATCTGGTGTTTATAATTCTACCTTTAATTATTGTTTCAACCAGTTTACTGGGTGCAGAAATAGGATTTATTGGCTTACAATACCTTGGATTGCCCCTAGAGTATATTTGATATCCCCCAAGAGACTGGAGGTAAACTACCAATATTGTATTTAAATGAATATCACTATTTTAAAGCCAGGGATTAGTTTTTTTCCTCCCCCAGTAAAATAGAAGAGTTAATCTACCTACTTAAAACAAAACTCTGCATAATTGTGGAATTCTTCAAACACAAATGCAAGAGGACACAATGCTGAAGTCGTAATTATAATTCTTAAACAAATACTGCTTCCTCAAGACACACCTAGCAGTTCATATGCAGGACACTAATTGTTCACAGAAAAAAAACCATGCCAAAGATCTTAGCTGCTACATTCTGTGACAGTTTGTCAAACATATTAGGAATGCTGCCTAACCAGCTAGAAGCTACAACAAATCTTTCCCCTGCTTTGACCTACAGTGACCTCCACCAATCAATACATGGGCTGAACACGCCTTTTCTGAACACTTAACTTTCTATGTACAAGGAGGTTTACCTACTTGTAGATACTCAACCCCTAAATCAAGGGTATCGTATGCCTAAAAGTCAGGGTTCCTCTTGTCTAACTTTGTAACTTTTTCAGAATATTCTAAAGATTCTTATTCTCATTCTTATTGCAAATTCCACAGAGCACTATGTCACATGCAACAAACCTAGTCTAATTTAGTCTAGTAATTATGAATGCCTGATTTTCTTTAGGATTAAGAGTAGTTATGGGGATGCACTGGAGAGGAGATAGATACTCTTTTTAAAACCAAAGAGAAGGTTAATGTAATATTTCTGTTCACAGACTAATTAGCTGGAGAAGTGCATGGTAGCAGCAGATCCACTGAGCCGCAGTGAAAGCTTCGCCTGCCTAGCAACTGTCACTGTGTAACACGGTGGTATTTGGTGCCATGGAGTAGTCAACAGAGAACAAGAGCTCTTCGTTTGATTTACATCACAGGTTGCCAGTCTTTAAAATTACAGAAACCTGCTGTGTATTTGTAGAGACAGGACATTGACAGACTTATTGTCATGGCAAAGCTCTGCAGACACCAGGTGAACAAACAGGATGTTTAGTACATTAAATATTATTCTGGTAGTATAGCTGACAGGGCAAAATATCAGACTAGGTTAGTTATGTTTGTCTCACTTGGTCGATTTCCAAAGGTACATTAGAATAAATTACAAAAGGAAAAAGGATGTGGATATGTTTAAAAAAATGGTCAACAAAACAAAAAAGGAGGGCTTATTGTAACACTCAAGCAAATTACTCCACTGAATATAGTACTGTATATATTTTCATATTGTGTAGGTTCTTACCTTTGTCTTGATCTGCTTGGGTGTGTCAGTGAGGAAGATGGAGGAGTTGGGGTCACTAGCACTCATTTTTGTCTGTGCTCCTTGCAGCGCTGGGAAGAAGATCGAATGCAATAAGGCTGGTTTAAGATATCCAATCCTCGGAGCTACATCCCTTGTCATTCTAAAATAAGGATCCTAGAACAACCACCAATAAAAGCCTTGAATAAAATTGAATATACATAGTTCAGAACTGTTTGATTATAACTCATCTGGTTCAGGTTCCAACCAGTGACAAAATGTCTCATAGCCCATTTCCAATCCCCTTTGAAAAATCCCTTCTGATATCTCCAGTTTCTTTTTAGAGCCCATCCTTCCATAACAAACTGTGCAGTTTATTTAAGAAGAAACTGTGTGTACTTGGCACTTATGAAAATGAAGTTTGACTGCCCAGGAGACAGAAGTCTGCCATTTATCAACAGGACACTTAAATTCTGGGCAAGGGCAGTGTAAGCTTCTTATCAAAAGTACCCTGGCAACATACACAGCTTGTAAATTAGAGAAACCTCCTCCAGGATGGAGTAGGTAGTGCTGCCTTCATGCCTGTTAGTTTCTTGATCTCTAACAAGACTTTCAACAAGGGAACCAATAGCAGTGGTTTTACAATGTGGATGTGTGACACAGGGCCAGAAAGGCTTGCACAACTAGCAGGCTAATTGACCCAGATTCAACCTTTAGAGACATATTAGGAAATAATGTTTGTGTTTTTTGTGTGTTTACATATACATTGTTAGAAGTTGACAATGTAAAGAAATGGTTCCTGTCTTTCGCTGTATTCTGTTGATTTGGAGAGCAAAAGGAGATAAATAAGCTGTGAATGTAGTAATATCATCGTCCTTATTTCTCTTTGAAGTTTGTAGTAAACTACCTGTAAATGGCTGAAGATGGGTAATTACCTTATATTAATCTATGTAGCTAATTACTGGTGGTGCTTAGGCAATAGGAGGTTACTTCAAAGACACCATTCTTCACTCAAGGAACACCTGGTGTCAAGGGATCTATAAAAACTCTTGGGCCCTGACCCTTTCATCTCAGATCTGCTTAAGCTTCATCAGGGGAAGTTTGAGTCACAAGACTGAGGTCTCCAGTTCCATTCTAGATCACCCTGATATTGGACATTGGACTATAACCTGATGAACTGATTCTGGAAAGGACTCTTTGCAACTCTAAAGCTCACGATCTACACTAGAAACTGACCTAAGAATTCATACCTGTATATATAATGCTCTTTTAACCAATACTCTCTCTTTTCTTTTTAAATAAATCTTAGTTTAGTTAATAAAATTGGCTGTAAGTGTGTATTTGGGTAAGATCTGAAATATTCATTAACCTGGTGGGTAATGTGTCTCATCCTTTGGATTAGTAAAACTTTTTATATGATGCCACAAGATTTTCAGTAATCCTCCTCATATTTGACTTGGCTGTCTGGGTGGGAGTTCCAGGCTGGGTTGCTTTACGGGAACTGTGTTTTTGTACTGTAGAAGCTGTTTTGTTGCTGGTTTGGTGAATCTAAGTATAGAATAACCACCAGTTTTGGGGACTGTCTGCCCCATACTTTGCAGTTTGCCCTAACTGAGCAATCACAGTGTGGCCCCCTGAGGCCTCGGTCACAGGATGTAAATGCAATAGCTTGGTGCATGTAATCATCTTCTAGCAGCTGTCTCCAATGACTATGGGCTTGTCTACATGGCACAGCCATGTGCACCAGAGGGGTGTTTTTTCTGGAATGCATGAATGTGCTGTGCACTAACTGGACCGAGTTGACCCAGCGCGCACAACACTATGTTTGTGCGCACTAGGGAGCTTTTAGTGCATGCAAGTAGGGTGAACACAGGCCAGTTCATGCTCAGTACATTAGTGCACTTTAGAAATCAGACCCTTCTAGTACACATTGTCATGTCATGTAGACAAGCCCTACGAGAGCCTTATGGCTAAGTGGCTCAGGGAAGCCTATGCTTTTGGTGCTGAAGGCATGGGCAGAGACAACCATGATGCCTGTACATGTATATCACTTCTGGGGGAATTCTGCACCAAAAATTTTTAAATTCTGCACACAATATTTTAAAATTCTGCATATTTTATTTGTCAAATAACACAATATAATCATGCCAGTTTCAATTATTTTGGTAATTTATTTAAACTAAACTACAATGGATGGAGAATGGGAATGGGGAGCATTGGAGGATATCCCGAAACCTCTTTTGTCTAATGATAATGTAGCTAGGTTTGACTCTTTATTTCTAGTTATTAGTCAACAAATATATGCACTCAGTATTACATCATAGGCAACTGAAGAGCAAGTGAGTGCTGGGGTATCAAACTCACAATTTATATTGGCTACTAACCATCTCCAGAAAGATCAGGAGTAAACAGTTCATAGAGCATATTTTGATTGGAACATTTTTCAGTCCAAAAATTTAGACCAGTTCTAAATTTAGACTATAAGCATTTATAAGGCCATACTGTCCTTTACCCCACTCTGGCAATGTAAAGGAGCCTTAAAACTTTTACGCAGTCTGCTACATTCTGCTCTGCCTGAGGGGACTGAGCCTGTCCCATGCCTACCTCCTCAGAAACATCCCGAAGCCTTGCCACACACACCGGGCATGCTGTAATAGCAAGCAAGAGGGACAGAGCCTCTCTTGTTCGCCCGCATATACCCCCTCTCCCCCCTCCCGGTGTGATTGACATCTCCCCATGCACGCATACCAGCCCAGCCCCAGGGGTGATTTACATCTCCGCTGGCTGCCCCGGGCACCCGAACTGACATGCCCATGCTGCTGGGGAGAGGGGGGCATGATCATTCTTGTGGATTCCCTTTGCTTCCCCATCAGAAAGCATTTTTCTGCAGGGAAGCAAAGAAATCTGCAGGGGGACATGAATTCTGCACATGCGCAGTGCTGTGGAATTCCCACCCATGAGTAATATATAGTGTGGTCTAGTGGAAAGACCACCAGACTACAACTCAGGAGACATGAGTGCTATTCCAGGCTCTGCCACTGACATGCTAGGTGATCTTGGGGAAGTCACTTCTCTTTCCTGTAGCTCAGTTTTCCCATCTGTAAAACAGGGATAATTATACTGACTTTGTAGTGCTTTGAGATCTGTAAGAGCCACATGTGGCCATTGTACATTCATGTACACTTGCACACTAGGGACTAGTCTGATATCATGACAGGTTCAAGACTTAATGGGAATCAGTATGAAATTAGTAAAGTGCCTACTGGGCTGATACAGCCTGTATTATTCCTATCAGGACACAGTATAAGACCTAACAATATCCTCAGGCTTCTGCCTGAGGAGATTGCCTGTGAGAAGGATGTTTTCTATTTTTTTAGTCACTTAACAAAAGTCTGATGGGTGCATTTTAAAAATCCCAAAATAAAATACAATAATTTCTAACCTGATCAATGGCACATGGGATAAGACACTGAATGTCTTTCTTGTCCTTGAAGATTTGTGGAAATGATGAGCTAAAGGATGGAGCAGCTTGGATAGCAGGAAAGCTGATCTTTCCTAGAAAAGAACATTTTAGAACATTTTTATTTACCCCTTTCCAGTTCAATTACATCCAACACACGCATCTTTAACACTACAGTAAGATAATTAAGAACTGTATTATAGAGATGTATTTAGTCTATCACCACATAGAAAAGTGAATTATTTGGTTCAGCAAGATGAGAATAGCTGTCTTTCTAAAAGGTATGTTTTAATCCACCTTCTGTGAGCAATTCTGCAGCCTGTGTGAGGGTGAGGCGTTAGGCTGGCCCCTTCTGGCTTTGAAATCTGTGAAATCGCCCTGTTCATTCCCTTCTTTCACAGGCCATGGGGAGAATAGAAAGCTCTGCACTGCCATCAATATGCTCATTCTACATTAAGACAGTAACTATCATCAAATCTCATGCTTCAGACTTTTCCAAAGATGCCTTTTGCCCTCTTCAGGAGAGGCACAGGAGATGGGGTGTATGACCTCCTTACCCGTGTCCCATGACAGAGATTCATGGCCCAAATCAAATAAGGGCAATGGTAGATTTTCCCAAACTGGAAAAGAGTGCTCAGTGTCCTCACAAAGCATAAATAACAGTGGCTGTTTGTAACAAACATGTTTTTTTCTATTCAGATCCCAGCCAATATGTGGGAATCACATCCCAGAATGTAACAACATATTCTGAGAAGCTACAAGAGAGGCCTGACCTAGTAGTTCAAGAACAAGGCTGGGAGCCAGGAACTCCTGAGTTCTGATCTCATATTTGAGCCCCAAAGCATTTGGAGCCTTATTGTGAGGGGTGTTAAGGACCTACAACCGTGTCAACAGAAGCTGTGGCTGCTCAGCACCTCTGAAAATAAGGTCTTTAGGACTTTATTTTCCATCTGAAAAATATAGATAGCATACCTAGAATTTATCCTAAAAAACAAAAAGAAGACAGACTTGGAAAATGCATTTAAGGTAGAAAGTGCAATAGAAGTGTTATTATTAAGTATTAGTTGTAGCAGTAAATTACACAAAGAATTACTCTCTGCACTGTGGACATTGCATGCACATCAACAACTCCTGTATTTCATACTTCATTGCCATCAAGGCCATAAACAGCAGCCCTTACACTGGGAAAACTTACAATGGTAGCTAAAGGTGTTTTGCCTGAGTAAGGACTCCAGGACTACGTCCTACGTGAGCAGTTCAAAATATTAATATTTGTGCTTCTCCTCTCAGTTTTTCCAATAAGCAGCAGGTGCGAGTCTGTTTACACAATCAAGGTGCCTTTGGTATCACACAAAGTGCAAACAGCAGTCCTTTCCAGTAACTCATATTCATGCTCTTACCAATGCAATCACTGTCTGTAAAGCCAAAGATTCCCTTCACTTGGTTAAATGTAACATGCTTCTGAACCTTTACAACATTCTTGTAGAATCCTGAACTCATCCTGTAAAAAACGGGGGAGGGAGTCAAAGGGAGATAATTTAGTGTCAAAGAGGGTAGACTACATTTCTGTAATAACATCTATACAACATGGGTAGATTGGCAGACCACCTTAGAAGCACTGCTTCCTAGTATTTATTAATACATTTAGAACATAATTTTTAAAAAACCAAGATTAAATAATTTTGGAAGTTTATATTCTTTTCTCCGCAAGCTTACATACAAGTGGTCAGTAGGGCTGGTCAAAAATGTTCAGCCAAAACTGGTTTTCAATGGAAAATTGGGTTTTTAACAAAATGAAGTGTTTGCTTTCTGTAGAAAATTTCAATTTTTTTGTAAAAACAAAACAAAAACAAACAAACCCCAAATGCCTGAAAAATCAATATATTTTGATTTGGAAATACTAGTGAGGTGCCTCATGGGAATTGAGGTTCAGATGCATCCTGTCCTTGTTCTCCTCCATGGGCTGGGATTCCTGGCAGACTAAAGCTCCTATGATGCACCCTGGCCAGGGACTTCTATGATGCATCTCCTCCCTCTTCAAGAGGAAGACTGTGTTGTATCATGGGAGATCCCAAGTCAGGCTGGCCAATAGGGAAAAGGAGCTTGACGCACCTGAACTACAACTTCCATGAGACACTGCAGCAAGATACCCAGAGAAACCCTTCTTCACGAGAACAGGCTTGGAAGTTCTTTTTGCTACATGAAAAAAAAAAAGAAACAAACAAAAAAGAAACAGGAGGAGGTAAGGCTAGTGAAAACCTCCAACACAGTCCTCCAAGTCACCAAGCCCTCCCTGAACTATCATAGTTTTTAAATGTCGGTCATTATCATGGTATCTGAACACCTAACTGACACTCTTTCCCTAAGCATACAAGAGTACATTCTTCTTCTCTTCTGGAAGATCTATATATCTTCTGAATAATTTTATATTAATTATATAAATTTTATATTACACCTCTACCCCGATATAACGCTGTCCTCGGGAGCCAAAAAAATCTTACCGCGTTATATGTGAAACTGCATTATATCGAACTTGCTTTGATCCGCTAGAGTGCGCAGCCCCGCCCCCCCGGAGCGCTGCTTTACCGCGTTATATCCAAATTCGTGTTATATCAGGTCGTGTTATATCGGGGTAGAGGTGTAATTATATTGAATAATCTGAATTAATTTTATTAAAAGTTGGCTTGATTTTCAGGTCTCATTAAGACATAAAACCTCAGGTTTCACTTGAAAATTACATACTTCGTTGTGTATAAGTTTGTGTAAGAAATTCAAATTTGTGCTGTATTTATAAATAATTCTAAGAAGAGAGCCCATATTTTACATGCACAGGCACAAGGAGGCAGAGTTAGGCCATGACTTCGCTAGTGAGCTCACAGCGGCACAGCTGTGCCAATGCAGCTGCACTGCTGTAAAATTACTTGTGTAGCCACTCTCCCGTCAGCATAATAAATCCACCTCAATGAGCGGTGGTAGCTACGTTGACGGGAGAAGTTCTCCTGCCGATATAGTGCTGTGCACAATACCACTTATGCTGGCAAAACTTATGTTGCTCGGGGTGTGGTTTTTTCACGTCCCTAAGCGGCATAACTTTTGCCGACGTAAGTGGTAGTATAGATATGGCCTTGATGTTAACTTTTCAACATTTACTCTAAATTCCTTGAGAGTGTATGATTTTTTCCCCTTAAATGTACTAAGTATACAAGCTTACAAAATGCACTACAAGCAAAATATACCTGTTCTTTGATGATAAAGCTTTATGAATTTTTAATTCACTTTCCCTGGAAAGAAGATTAACGGACACTCAGCTATAACCTTACACCCTTGGGAACATTTCTCAATAGCTGCAGATGCATGAGAATATATAGAAATACTGCAGCCCCAGCAACTGCCACTCAGCAGAGATTGCTGCTATTTCTGTTCAAGGCTAAAATAGGTCTCCAAATATACTCCAATATGTTTGTACAACATGAGTGTGTCTGTACATATGGTATGGGTGGAATTTTCAGATGCAGTTGGTGTTGGTCTAACTCCGCTCCCATTGAAGTCAATGGGAGTACCATTAACACCAATAGGAGCAGAGCTAGGCCAAAGTTGAGTGCTTTGAAAATCCCTCCTTATAGATTTTTTTTGAAATTGGCAGGCAGGAGGAAATGAACTAATTTATTAGAGATATTTCATAATCTTGTTAATTAATCTGAGATTGGAGAGTTTGGAACTTCTCAGCTGCTTTGATCTTCCTCATAACTAGATGCCATTTCTACTGCCATTAAAATGTTAAATCAATATAAAATACCTGAGGTCTTATGACTTGGAGGCTCCCAAACTGGCCTGGATCTCTCCAAGCATTGATCCTATATATGTATTTTTGTTCTTCTGTTTTATAAAAACAAGTTTTAAAATATAAATTTAAAAAAAAAAAAGGACTCTGCAAGCAGCTAAAGTTGCTCCATTATTACAATATATTCCTTTGCCCCTTGTTTCAAAACTTGTTTTATTACCTGCAAACTCTACATAGAAAAAAGGTTTCGTAATAATACTCTAGTGAGTATTTTTATTCACATGGCTAGTCCCACTGAAGTCAATGGGTTCCTTTTCACATGGGTATGAGCTACTCAGGTAAGGAAGATTTGCAGGATGGGTCCCGTACGAGCAAATTATGCACAGTGTTTTCCTCTCCTCTTTAATGAGGTGAAAGCCAACACCATGGGGGACAAAAAAGGGAAGTGCTGGCTCTACAGCATACTCCCTTGTCTCAAGGTCTCCATGGAAGTTCCTTATTCTCACCAGTTTAAGTGAGAGGAGAATCAGGACCATGACTTCTAAAGTTTCAATCTCTTCTATGGGGGTTTCTTCCTTTGAAGCAGGCAACCATGATGGCTGCTTCTTTTCCTTGTGGATTTGTATTAGCAGCTCACTCTTACTGGAAGTTAAAACGTGAACCATTTAAGTTCTATTACAGTCATAGATCAACATGAAAGTAACTTGTTTATCCCAAACAGAAAAAGAACGCAGCCCAAAAAAGCTATGACATGAGACTATAAAGACATCTGAGGTTTTGATAGCATCCTAAACAAATGAAGCTTCAGTCTTGAAGTTACCAGGCCTATGTACTCTCAGTTATTTTTATAATATTCTCTTTATTACATACTTATATTAAATATATAAAATATGATGTATATTTTATGTTGTTATACACACACATGTTCATACATTGCAAAGAATATATTAGAAACACGGACAATAAGGTATTGTGTTAAGTAGTGCAAAAATTGCCTGGAAGATTTCAGATCTAGATACATAGTCAATATGTTTATATTGCTGGCTGTTGCAAGATCACAGAGATTATCTGAAAGCTTTTGATCATGAGGTTTTACGAATTCTTATAACCTTACCCCAAGTAGTCAAGATCAGAAAAGATAAAGGTTTTATTGATGTCAAAACCACAGGCTATGATGTCCTTTGCATTTTCTATAGCATATTCATAAGCTTTCTCAATTGTCAGATCTTTCCACAGGTATTTCTCATCATCAGTCAACTGTATAACCAAGGGAACATTAAATACTTCTTGCAGCCACCTAATAGAAATAAAAATATTTTATTTTGTAGAACAAGTTAAAGCAAATGGGTTGCACAGCCAAAATATTTAAATGACTTCAGGCAGTAATAAAGTTAAGGGGCTTGATTCTCCACTGCTTTGTACATATGCTTATCTAAAATGGATGGAAAATTCTACCAAATCAGAGTTCTTCAGTCACTCGCCTCAGGGCTAGTGTTTTACATGCATGTGCCACAGATGTAAATGGTTACCCAGAGGAGTGGAGAATCAGACTCAAGGTTTCTGATGCTATGTTAGTGACCATACTGTACTTTTTGCCTCTTTGATACCTATTTAACAAGAAAAAGAAGAATGGAGAAGAATGTGTATGTGCCATGTGGGAGAGGTAATAGTGGTGAAGGGACAGCAATAGACTTGCTTTAACCAGGCCACTGTAAGAGTTTCATTAACAAGATTTTTGCATTTAATTTTATATGCAGCTGAAGTAACATAGATAGTGGGTATGATGTACAGTTTTTATAGCTCTAAATACTGTTCAATATTTCAGATGAGAACCAAATATTTGTTTAATAATAAACTAGCAACTTAGAGGCAGAAGCTACTTACTTTGTGAAAATAAATGGGATAAGATGACCAACATGCATTGCCTCTGAGGAGGGGCCTCTACCTGTATAAAGGTAAAAGGGCTTCTTATTTTCATATGCATCAAGAATTTGGTTCATATCTCTAGAAAATAAAACAGAGGAAACATGGTGTGACTTATATAATTTAACCAAAGACGACCAATGTAGGTAAATAAATTAGCTCTACAAGGAACAGCTGGCAAGCTACAGTAAAAATTTTGAACAGAAAAGTGAAAACTTTCGAATGCAAAATGTATTCACAAACCAAATATAGTAACTTTAAAAAGTCTTCATATATAGTACACTTCATAAAAGTTATTTTAAAAAGAGAAGGTATTGGTTGAGCACATTTAAAAGATTTAGTTAAAAAAAAAGCAAAACAGAATTATGTAATAGAAAAATGTAGGCCCTGTATATGCACTGTATGATAACAAATTAAGGCCCCAAATGTCTATTGAGATCAAATGATGTGGACCCATGTGTCCATGCTGAGTCTCATTAAAGTCAATAGGGACTCTGCATGAGCATGGAGGTCTATGCCAACAGATCCCAATACAGAATTGGGGCCTAAGCGTATGGCCATGTTTGGAAATTATACTGTATTCAACACTTGAAAATGTTCACTCTTGGAATGCTAACTCTTTTCCCCTACCAACAAACAAAACAAAACAAAACACAGCACAACAAAAACCCAACTCCTTCCCCGCCCCTCTCATTTCCTACAACCATACAAAACTTTCTTTCAAAGTTATGCTGGAGCCCAAGCAGATTTATTTCTCCAGATAGTTTAGAATACTCCTCCTGAACCCAGTTCTGTTGTTGCTACATATGTGGAACTCTCACTGAAGTCAATGAGAAGCCAGTGCATGTGGAACCGCTGAATCAGACACTTTGATACTGGCAGCTTTTGAACCAAAACCTGCACACACACCCCTGATTACTTAACATGGTCTAATTTTAAAAAAATGCACATTTTTGACCTCGCTCACATTTTCCTTAATGACTAAAATGGATGCAAACAGTTTTTGCATAGGTAAGATAATTTAAAAATCAACTCCTATCATGGCCATGAATCATGCTAAAATAAAAATGCAATTTACTTTTTAGAAAGCTTTTAACTTTTTAGTACCTAACTTCAAGAGGACCTATGACACTTCAGAATTTCTAGGATTTCTCCCTAGACTTCACATTTCAAAAGAAACTGTCCTTTGTTAAATCAGTGAGATGAAAGAGTACTCATACTCTTAACAACTGTATTTCCACTTGAAATCTTTCATGTTATTCATTTATTCAATCACAAGTCCATACACAGAAAGTGTCCTCTCTCATAATACAAGGCTGAATGAGTAAGAGGATGAAACAGCAAGCATTTTTTCCCCAAACGTCCCCTACTTTTTGGGAGCCAGGTTTTGCTTCCCAGTGATGAAATTGTAAACCAGGAATAACTTCATTAATTTCAAGCACTTTATTCTGGGTTTTTGATTTGGTGTAAATAAGAGTAGAATATGGCTCTCTGTTGGACACAGGCTGCTCTTGCTGAGATTAATGGAAATTGCATGTATCCTGATCCATACATTTTTGTGTTTACTTGTCTCTGGGTATTACCAGAGGATCAAAAAGAAAACCTCACCCACCTATGAGAAAAAAAGATGCCTCTGCGCAGAAAGTGGTGAGGTGTTTTTCCAGTAACTCTCTCTATTCGATTGATTAGCTCTTTATCAATTTTACTGCTTCCAAATCGAACTGAAAGAACAAATGCACAACAAATTATATACACTGCTAGCTAAAACCCGCTCATGGATTTAAACAGAACATATTGCTTAGGCACAATGGCAAAGAAATATAAAATCAGAAGCATTGATCAAAAAGAATCTGGGTAGTGGTTAACTAAGGTGCTTGTAAGGCATACAAACATCTGCTTGTTCTTGTCACTGTTAGCAGGCGAATGCACCGCTCACCTCTCCTGGTCACATCAAGTGCACCCTCTCCTAGGTCTCAGACCTTTAGCCACCACGTGGAGTTGTGTGATTCTCCTACTTTAAGACTAGGTCCTTGGTTGCAATCCTTGGTACTAACCATGATTATCTCAGCAGGCCTGACTTATCCTCAGTGCCCACAGTTCTCTTCCCTCTGGAAGCAATGATAATGATTAATACAGTGACCAAGAAGCCTCCTTTAAGCCAAGTATTTATTTAGAACAAAAGTGTTTCAAAGAAAACAGATCTTAAAAACAGTCAGATAAGACTGTAAACATATTAGGTGTTCCCTAAAGTTTACCATTCCCTGGATCTAGAAAGGCCCAACTTTTTCTGACTCCCCCTGCAGTCTCTCTCTGTGCCAACCCTAGACAGCTTCTGATAACTGACTGCCCCTTCGCTCCCTGAGAAGGGCTTTTAGCTGTTTATCGTTCTTTTGATTTCCAGGCACCTCATTTTTGCCAAAACAATTTACTGGGGACACTATACAGGTTCCTTGAAGCTAACAGCGAGCCCCATTTTCTTGCAAGTCTGTGCTTGAGGCTGTTTATCAAGATCTAGTGTGCGGCTTTCCTGTCTCTTCCCATAGTGCTCTTATTAAGTTAGATCAATGCATTCATATAGGAAAGTCTAATAACTCGCCGTGTTTATACAGTAACTTTACCTCACTGACCAGATTACTTACAGCATTCATGACATTATTACATATCAGTATTCATAGATTAATATATAGCACCTGCTCATCCATCACAGTTCTCCCCTCCTTAAACTACAAATCCTACAGAAGCTTTCCTGCAAGGTGCTTCAGTGAAGAAAATCTTCATTCCTTCCTAGTAAGTGCCCTTGAAACCTGCATGTAGTTTCTACAGTTTGGCTATGCAGGTCTGTGCATGTTCAAGACAACTATGTGAGAAAAAGGATATTCCATTGAATTATACCTTATTTCTTGGCACTTTGGTTTCTTCTGTCTAAAGTAAACATGAGTATTGTGTTCAGTTTTGGGTGCCACAATTTACCAAGCATGTGGATAAACTGGAGAGAGTCCAGAGGAGAGCAACAAAAATGATCAAAGACATAGAAAACCTGACCAATGAGGAAAGATTAAAAAAACAGAATAGATTTACTCCTGAGAAAAGACAACTAAGGGGGGACCTGATAAAAATCTTCACATATATTAAGGGCTATTATAAAGAGGACAGACCCCAAGTGTTCTCCACACTTGACTTTATCTGCAGCAATGAAGATTTAGGTTAACTATCAAGAAGAATTTCTAAATCTTAAGGATAGTTAAGCCCTGGAATAGGCTTCCAAGGAAAGAAGTTGTGGAATTCCTGTCAGTGGAGGTTTTTAAGAACATGTTGGACAAACATCGGTCAGGAATGGTCACTCTAAAGTTTACTTGGTGCTGCTTCAGAGTGCAGGGGAAGGACAAGGTTACCACTCCAGGTCCCTTGCAGCCCTACCTTTCTATGACGGGACTGGTGGCTATCTCCAATAGTGCTAGGGGGGAGTGGTTTGAGCATTGGCCTGCTAAACCCAGGATTGTGAGCGCAATCCTTGAGGGGGCCACTTAGGGATCTGGGGCAAAATCAGTACTTGGTCCTGCTAGTGAAGGCAGAGGGCTGGACTCAATGACCTTTTGGGGTCCCTTCCAGTTCTAGGAGATAGGATATCTCCATATATTATAATTATTATTTTATAGATGTGACATTATGCCCCTATATTCTTCATAGAAATATTGTTATGATATGAATATGGCATAACTAAGATATGTTTCATGCAAGATGGGTCATGTGAGGTATCATTGAAAAGGTTATAATTTACTGAATGTAATTATCCAATTTGTATGCATGTATCATTTCTGTACCTGACTATGTAACAATTACAACTGTGTGTGTACTTGGGGAACGCTTACCAGACAGTATGCAATCAACCTGAATGGGCCATTAGGAAAGACAATGGGTCTTTGAAGATGCTGATTTCCCACCTTCCTGGAGTTCCCTCCTGTGGATGTTACAAATAAACCTTGTCTCATGGTTGCTTTAACACTGCAAGGTCATGTGATGATGTCACCTGGTACGAAATACCACCTTGGACACTGCTGGTACTTTTCCACTGAAGAAGGAGGATGGAGATCAAACAGGGAAATAAAAGATTCTATTTAAGGCTGGAGAGTGAGTTAATCAATGTCACTGGTTCTTCACTGAATCCCCACCCAGGAAAACTGCTGTAAACATCCAAGACTGATCTGGGGAGAAAGGACTGGGACCAGGCTGAGACAGGGGTCTAGCCTGTGAAGAGAAATACCTGGAACTCTAAGTAGTAGAAACTCAGCAACCTGCCTAAAACAATATTTAGGGTGAGAAATTACTATTTGTAACCAGTTTCTTTAGTGAATTAAGCTTAGGTTGTATGTTTGTTTATTTTGCTCAGTAGTCTGCTTTGTTCTGTTTGCTATCCCTTATAATCACTTAAAATTCATCCTTTGTAGTTAATAAACTTGTTTTGTTTTCTAAAACCCAGTTTGTGCAATTCATAACTGAGGGGGCAGGGCAAAAAGCAGTGCATATCTTCCTCCACACTGAGGGAGGGGGCGATTTTCATGAGCTTAAAACAATATAATTTTGGGTTTGCACTCCAGAGGGTATGGGCACACGAGTGCTGGGCAATCCCCTAGTTGAGTCCTCCCACAGAGAGCTGATCACAGACTGTGTGATTTTACAGCTGGGTGTGTTCCTACCTGTGTATGTACTAGAAGGAGGCTTGAGAGCCTGACACAGCAGCATGGGGGGTGGGGGGAGACCCAGGCTGGTGGGCCAGGTGGGCTCAGTGGGACCCTAGCACATCAGGTGGCACCCGGAAGGGGGGGTCCAACCAGTCACAATAGACTTTTGAAATAGCACCAGAAATTCACTCTGCCCTAAAGAGGGAAACTGCTTGTTATTAGAATCTTGGACATTAAGATTTGTATAGAAAGGAGTAGCAGGAAGTTAATATGTACTGTTGACAAACTACCTTCTTTTCATGGAGCGCTCAGTATTCTCATGAAGAAAAGCCCACACCGTTTCCAAGAAACTTAAAGGAAACCACTCCCTCCCAATCTACAATTACAGTACGACAGGCCAATGAGTGTGTAGGTATACAATAAGCAGCCCAAGCAACGCAAGCTAACTACATTGTTCTAATACTAAGTCCCATTGTTCTTTAATATCACTCATTTACAATATATTCAATGCCACTCATTGTTATTTCAGTTAACTGATACCCATAAATCATCAAGGGATTATGACAGTAGAGATCTCTTATCCTCCCCACTTCCACCACCTAGAGACAGACCAGATGACATAAAAGGTCTTTCAATCTCTAGATTCTATGATTAACACACAAATGCTGGGTTAATGCAATGTTAAGGTTGCACAGTTAAAAAAGTAAGGAGATGCAAAATGTTAAATGGACACCATCAACATCAGTTTCAAAAAGCAAGTTAAAAGCCTTTTCAGGTATTGCATGTACCCTTGGGTGCCCCCAGATGACTTTGTTTTTCCACAACCCCATTTTCCTATTTAAAATGTTTTTTTCTCTCATGTTGCTATGTGACAGACCCACACAAACAGGGAAACTAACTTGACTACACACAAAATAAAGAAATATTTTTTTCTCTAACCTCTTTCAATTATTCTTATCTTACAAATCGTAACAATAAAAAGTAAAATGCTTTCAATTAGATGCACATTCTTTACATGGGCTGCATTCCTTCAATTCCAACAGTACTTAACCTGGCCGTAGCTCATGTACTCTCTGAGGCTTGGTCTACACTGGAGACAGGGGGTGGGGGAGGTGGGAGACGAAGGGGAGGAAGAAATCGATCTAAGTTACACAACTTCAGCTACGTGAATAAAGTAGCTGAAGTCGACGTACTTAGATCGACTTACCATGGTGTCTTCACCGCGGTGAGTCGACTGCTGCTACTCCCCTGTCGACTCCGCCTGCACCTCTCGTGGCAGTGGAGTACAGGAGTTGACGGGAGAGCGCTCGGGGATCGATTTATTGGGTCTAGACTAGACGCGATAAATTGACCCCCGCTGGATCGATCGCTGCCCGCCGATCTGGCAGGTAGCGTAGACATACCCAGACAATGCAACAGCATGATGACCTCGTTTCAGAGCCACAGTAACAATTCTACATGGGCCCCTCTCTGTCCAAGTCCCAAGAATCTAGTTGGGGGTCAACTGAGGGCAGGTAAGACACTCAGGCATGGCCACAGCACATTCCACATGTTCTGAAAGTTATTACAAAACAGGGCAACCTCTTCAAAACACTTTATAATTACATTGTTCTAATAGGAAAATAACACGTACCACAGCACTTGTGTTAAAGAAATTAAATATATGAATGGGAAAGATTTTGCTCAAATTTTAAAAACAGAAATTGACAAAGTGGAGACCAACCTCTGGATGTTTTCAGTACAAAAAACGAATGCTTCAGAAAGACACTAGCATGAAAAAACATAGTATAATGGAAACTGATCCCTACCACCTCTCCCTATGATATTCTACATTAATAGGTTCTTGTAAGTGACATTAATATCAAAGTGACACAAGTGAAACATCCTGGCAACATAGGCTCTATTTCAAAATGAGAAAATATAGTAAAACATTTGCTATATTTACAGTCATTAGAATAATCAGACTCATCTTACAGATGTTACATTTTGCTAACGGTGCTTTTTAAAATGAGAGAGTAGAATACCTATAAGTTTGTCGTAGTCTATGCCTTTCGCATTGGATGTCTGCACTGTCCAAGGGTCTACAAAATCCTCATCCTGTGTAGTAGTTGGACCATTATTGCTTACTGGTGAGAAATTGACTGGAGGAGAACCAGCCTTGTAATCTTGTCCTGTTGCTGTTTTATAAGTCACTTTTAATGACAATAACAGCTTCACTGCTGCATCAATTTCATCCTGAGCAAAGGAAAAACAATGTTAAGATGGAATGTGCTTCAGACAAAGTGTGTTAGTATGGCCTTCCTTCTCCAAACACTAACACACATGCATTGACTTCAATGGGGCTACTCATGTGCTTCAAGTTAAGCAGGATCAATGTCCACGATAAAAGAAAAGGAAGTGGCAGGTGGGACAGTTTCTTAACATTCCCTGTACACAAATCGTAAGAATTTATTGTGTAAACTTGGGCAAGTCACTCAAGGCACTCTCTGTGCCTCACTTTTCCATTTGTAAAACAGGGACAAAGATATTTACCTGCCTCACAGGGAAGTGGTGAGGTTTAATTCATTTAAGTATAAAGTTTGTAGATATGCTTAGATAGAAGGTGCTATAAAATTATTAGTTACTTTAGAAATACTCCTGTAGTAGTTGTTATATTTAACATTTTTTAGTTCTTTACACCTCACATAGTTATTTTATGTTCTATATAATTTAATGTTATTGTAACAGCTCATGCATGCACACACTCCCATTGCTAAGATTTCTTATCCAAGTTTCACTTGAAAAACAAATCTTCAGACCCCAAAGTACATCACCTACTGAAATTAATTCTATTTACACACAGACTGATGACAGGATCAGGTATTTAGAGCCAAATGCTGATCCCACTTAAGTTAACAGAAAATTGCCAAATGAGTTCCACAAGACTAGGAGTTGGCCCTCAGTGCACATACACTGAAAACCACATTTCCTAATAGGTATGGTAATACTTTTATACAGTGCTTTGCATCCAAGGATCTCAAAATAGTTTAGAAAGGTCAGTATTACTATCTACATTTTAAAGGTAAGAAAACTGAAATGCAACAAGACTAATTGATTTAAGAAAGGCAACGTAGCAAGTCAGTGGCAGAATTAGACCCTAAGCCTAGTGCCTCCCAGTTCCTGCTCCAGGAAAAACAACTTTGGTCATTTTGAATGAGGTAATATTAATAATTCCAAAGTCTGTATTATGGACAACAAAACATTTTTCAAAGAAAATATTTTATTACTGGAATATAAAATAGCATCTCAAGCCACAAAACTGTTCAATGTGTTAAGAGAGAACTAAGGTGCAAAATTGAAAGAGTTCAACAAATGAAATAAAATTACCGTTGATGCTTTCCCTGCTTTCAGTGATCTGACTTTTTCTCCTTGTGCAGTCACTCTTTCAAACAGCTCAAGTGGACTTGAAGGGCAAGAGTCACAGTTCTGAATGTCCGCCATTTTTTCAGGAGTGTAAATTATCCTTTTTATTCACAATATAAAGTATTTTATCCAGCAGATTCAAAATAGCTGCAGCAACAGACTGGAGAAGGAGAACTGTAAAGAGATAACCAGGTCATATGTTTTATTTTATTGAAATTTTAAAGACTTCTGTTCAAACCCATCTGAAATAATACTATTTCATTTCACCCATAGTAAGCAATATGTTTGGAGAGTCCATTTTTTCAGCACTGTTCTTCAGAAACCAAAGACACATAGCACAATGAAATCGTTTCATAGCAGGAGTTTAGACGTTTGAACTAGAAGATGGGCACTGCTCTGGAGGAAATAAAATCACAGGTTGATTCATAAATACTGTTCCTTTAAATCTACGTACGTGCACTAACTAAACTATGCTGGCTCATTTTATGTTTCAATGTACGTTATAATTTTCCCATCAACACACACAATCTTAAAAACAAACAAACAAAAAACAATGAAACACATCTTGATCTCATCATATATCAGGTAAGGTTTTAGTTTTCTTTTTCTTCTAAATCTGTTCTTTGTCCCTTTTAATATTTATTTCCCCCCTTATTTAGCGGCAGTCCACAAAAGTACAATGAAGGTGCTTTAACAATTTGCAAACCAGAAGTTCACGTTGTACTGGTAATACATTAAATTCTTAACTCCCACTTGGTTTTATATGTTCTCTGTCTAAAGGACCACCTGTAAGGGACTGGGCCATAGGTGGTCTGGCCTAGCAGTCACAGCTGGGCTGAAGTCTGCCCACCAGGTAGGGTTGCCAGCCCTCTAGGATTGGCCTGGAGTCTCCCAGAATCGGCATTGATCTCCTGGTGACTATTGAAAGCAATCCAGGAGATTTTAATAGGATATTTTAAGAAAATGACATTATGTCATGTTGGGGGGAAAAAAATCTCCCGGAATAGCTTCAGAGATAGCACCAGATTAGAATCAAGAGGCAGGAATCTGGGTCAGTCAGGCTGGAGTCGGAGACTGGAGATCAGGAGACGAGGCGAAATCTGGTATTGCAGCAGGCCAAAGTCTGTGTGGTTGCCCAGACAACTTATTGGGCCAACCCCTGAGGTTAAGCAGGGGCACATGACCAATCAGAGGGCCATGGGATACTGTCACTATGGTCTCTTGGACAGTCCTTCCTGCAGTACCTACACTCACAGTGCTCCCTGGCTTTGCCTCTGCGTGTGGCACTCTGGGAATATCAAATACCCCAGGCTCTACAGACCCAGGTTCCAGTCCCCAGATCCTGACACTACCTTCTACTACTGGAATTTCTTCCTCCTCTTTCAGGTTTTAGTCTTTAAAGACAGTTTAATTAGAGTAACCTTTTTACAGGTGCTGCAGGATTGTTTATTCTAATAAAGGGTTTGCATTTATGACTAAGAAATGTGGCAACCTGTTATCCATTAGCCCAATTATAATGAAAACATGGTTGGGTTGTGGGGATAGAGCTTTCCCTATGTGATCCTGAAAGAATTGTTAATAATCAGAAAGGAATATAATAAGCAGAAGCTCAAGCAAAAAATAGGTTAAGGTCATAAGAACGGCCATACTGGGTCAGGCTAAAGGTCCGTCTAGCCCAGTACCCTGTCTTCTGACAGTGGCCAATGCCAGGTACTCCAGAGGAAATGAACGGAACAGGTAATCATCAAGTGATCTATCCCCTGCCACCCATTCCCAGAAAATATAATGTGAATAGCTTTTAAAATAGTAATGGTGGTTATGTGTAAAAATGCAAGCACATTGGTTATACTAGTATTCAGGCACCAATCAAGGATTTATTTAATTTTGTCATTTGATACAGAAGAATAGAAGATTAAAAAAAACATGTTTACATTTACAGTAAGTTCTCCATATCGACAAAGAAAAAAGATTAGTGCGTTGGAAGAGGAGGGGATGTCATAATTCAGAGAAAGCAACCTTACTGGGTGAGCTGTGATTGTCCCAAAGACCTATCATACATCTGTGATGAACACAGCATGAGTGCAAGACACAGAGAGGGATCTCTAGCAGAGAATGCTTGTTTTGAAATGCACTTCATTCATATGTGATGGATACACAACAAATTGAAGACTAAATTAGTCTTATAACAGTACAGCTACCATCAGTGGTCAGTTTGAAAGACGCACCTCACACCTTAAGTATCCCTTATCAGACTAAGGCCCAGGAGCCCACTTGGCACCTCACTCACTTCAAAGGGACACGTGGGCATACAGGTCTATCTGCATAGAACAAGTTGCAGGATCAGGGACTAGAAGATTATCCCTGATGCAACTGAGGGGCAAATTTGCTTCGAAGATTGATCTTAAGATGCATCTAACTATTCAAGAAATCTTAAAAAACAGATTCCTAAACAGTTTATTGACAGAATTCTATATATGATGCATAATTAGAAATGGATTTACAAGACCTAACTTTAATTAATCCTAAGAGAAAGTTACAAAAAATGACCCACTTGGTTTCACTGTTCCAGAGTTCCAAAAACAAGCCCACAGTATTCACACTAGCTGTTCAACACTACAAAGTCTGCATCCTGCAAAACAGTCTGATCACAACTTGTTTACAAAAGATACATTTAGACTGTCACCATACTACAAGCCTTTTGCCTGCTCGGGAAACATAACAAGGAGTTGCCATGGTTAACTAAAATGTAGCTAACCATCAAGGTTCTGTTCCTTAACCAGCTGCAATATTTCCAGGTTATGGAACAGCTGAGCACCAACTACAGCTAATGTTATCCTCTTATCAGCCCACTACTATATCAAATTCTTATTTTAAATAAAACTGTCCTGATTAAGGTTTGAATGGTCACTAGTTTTGATTGCTTAGTTCAGTAACCCTTTAATAAGATGTTATTTAAATAACATGCCATTTAGCCTTATTTCATTTAATTATGTTATGACTGATTTAACATATTTAACAGTGTTTCTTCCATAAAGGGAAATTCTTTTACAGACTCCTACATAACTCATTTTCATATTCTATTTTGGAGTCTAATATTTTCCTTGTTTCTTCGAGGCAAAAAAAATTGTTTGGTTGGATAAGGAAATGAAATTATTAAACCCACAAATCCAATAAAAGGGTTTTATATAGTCTTTTATGAAGGTTAACACAGCATCTTTATGTGGGGCTACCATGGTTATATTAGCTGGCTTCAAATTTTACAATATATGAAGTTAAACACCAGTTTTTTGTATGCAACATTAACATGGATGCATAGTTTGATCTAATTTAATTATTCTATTTAACTCCCTATTTGCAGCACTTCTCTATCCTGAAAGGCTGAAATGACAGTGTGAAGCTGATGGACTTCAGCAGTACACTAGAGAAGACCACTCCCGTCTGAGGAAAGTAAAATTGGATGACTCTTTAAAGAGGACAAAGGTAGTGTTATGCTATTCAGCATAGCAGAATTGAATAATAGAATCATAGACTTTAAGGTCAGATGGGACCATTATGATCGTCTAGTCTGACCTCCTGCACAACGCAGGCCACAGAATCTCATTCACCCACTCCTGTAACAAACCCCTAACCTATGTCTGAGCTACTGAAGGCCTCAAATTATGGTTTAAAGACTTCAAGGTGCAGAGAATCCTCCAGCAAGTGACCCGTGCCCCATGCTGCAGAGGAAGGCGAAACCCCCTCAGGGCCTCTACCAATCTGCCCTGGAGGAAAATTCCTTCCCGACCCCAAATATGGCAATCAGCTAAACTCTGAGCATGTGGGCAAGACTCACCATCCAGACACCCAGGAAAGAATTCTCTGTAGTAACTTAGATCCCACCCCATCTAACATGACATCACAGGCCATTGGGCATATTTACTGCTAATAGTCAAAGATCAATTAATTGCCAAAATTAGGCTATCCCATCATACCATCCCCTCCATAAACTTATCAAGCTTAATATTGAAGCCAGATATGTCTTTTGCTCTCAGTGCTCCCCTTGGAAGGCTGTTCCAGAACTTGATTCCTCTGATGATTAGAAACCTTCATCTAATTTCAAGTCTAAACTTCCTGATGGACAGTTTATATCCATTTGTTCTTGTGTCCACATTGGTACTAAGCTTAAATAATTCCTCTCCCTCCCTGGTATTTATCCCTCTGATATATGTATAGAGAGCACTCATATCTCCCCTCAGCCTTCTTTTGGTTAGACTAAACAAGCCAAGCTCTTTGAGTCTCCTTTCATAAAACAGGTTTTCCATTCCTCGGATCATCCTAGTAGCCTTTTACATCAATCAACCTTTTGTTCTCTCCCTATATTTGCACAATCCAGTCTGCAAAACTGCTCAAAACAATACAATACTACATGCTCTACCAGAGCTTGGTAAAGCCAGATTGCCTTTTCTTTCACACAAGCACTTTCCAAACAAAGGGTGAAGTTGCCAACAACAAATGTTGCCAACAACAAAGTTGCCAACCTACATAGACATATAGAACATAACTATATATAGAATATATAGAACTATATAGAACTATATATAGAATATAGACGGACATACAGAAGATGTCTATCTGTGCAAGTGATGACATACTCTATAGACTGTCTTCTACATGGACATACTGTCCATGTCCGCATTGTACAGGCGTCTACACAGACATACATAACAGCATAAGAATGGTCATACCTGGTAAGACCAATGGTCCAGCTAGCCCAGCATCCTGTCTCTGACAGTGGCCTGTGCCAGATACTTCAGACGCAGTGAACAAAACACGGCAATTTATTGAGTGATCCATCCCCGGTCATCCAGTCCCAGCCTCTAGCAATCAGAGGCCTAGGGACACCCAGAGCATGGAGTTGCGTCCCTGACCATCTTGGCTAATAGCCATTGATGGACCTATCCTCAGTGAACGTATGTAATTCTTTTTTGAACAGTTATACTTTTGGCCTTCACAACATCCAATGGCAATGAGTTCCACAGATTGACTATGCGTTGTCTGAAGAAGTACTTCCTTAATAAATCTTCTTTGAGATGGGGTGACTGGAACTGCATGCAGTATTTAAGGTGTGGGAGTACCATGGATTTTTATAGTGGCAAAATGATATTTTCTGTCTTATCATCTATCCCTTTCTTAATGGTTCCTAACATTAACTTTTTTGACTGCTGCTGCAAATTGAACAGATGTTTTCAAAGAACTATCCACAATGACTCCAAGATCTCTTTGTTGAGTGGTAGCAGCTAATTTATACCCCATCATTTTGTATGTGTAGTTGGGACAATGTTTTCCAATATGCACGACTTGCAATTATCAACAGTGAATTTTGTCTGCCATTTTCTAGCCCAGTCACTCAGTTTAGTGAGATCCCTTTGTAACTCTTTATAGTCAGCTTTGGACTCAACTATCTTGAATAATTTTGTATTGTCTGCAAACTTTGTCACCTCACTGTTTTACCCCTATTCACAGATCATCTATGAATATGTTGAACAGCACTAGTCCCAGTACAGGTACTTGGGGGACTCCACTATTCACCTCTCTCCACTGTGAAAACTGACCATTTATTCCTACCCTTTGTTTCCTATCTTTTAACCAGTTACTGATCCATGAGAGGACCTTCCCTCTTATCCTATGACCGCCTACTTTGCTTAAGAGCCTTTGGTGAGATACCTTGTGAAAGTCTTTCTGAAAGTCCAAGTACACTATACCTATTAGATCACCCTTGTCCACATTAGCTATCCACCAGTACAGAGGCTGATTTAAGTGACAGGTTACATACCACAGTTAGTAGATGGATGGCCGGAGAGAGATCACTTGATCATTACCTGTTAGGTTCACTCCCTCTGGGGCACCTGGCATTGGCCAGTGTCGGCAGACCGGATACTGGGCTGGATGGACCTTTGGTCTGACCCAGTATGGCCATTCTTATGTTCTTAGTAGTTCTGTGATTTCATATTTGATTTCCTTCAGAACATCTGGTCCTGCTGATTTATTACTGTTTAATTTATCAATCTGTTCCAAAACCTCTTTTACTGACACCTCAAATATGGGACAGTTTCTCAGATTTGTCACCTAAAATGAACGGCTCAGGTGTGGGAATCTCCCTCACATCATCTGCATTGAAGACCAATGGAAATAATTCATTTAACTACACTGCAATGGCCTTGTCTTCCTTGAGTGCTCCTTTAGCACCTCAATCATCCAGTTTCCCCACTTATTCTTTGGCAGGCTTCCTGCTTCTGATATACTTGAAAAAATGCTTGCTTTTAATTTTTGAATCTTTTACTAGTTGCTCTTCTAATTCTTTTTTGGCCTGCCTAATTATACTTTTACATTTGACTTGACTTTATGTTCCTTTCTATTTTCCTTAGCAGGATTTGACTTCCAATTTTTAAAATATGCCTTTTTCTCTTTAACCACCTCTTTTGCTCTGTTGTTTAGCCAACATGGGGGTTTTCTGGACCTCTTATTGTTTTTTTAATTTGGAATTTACATATCGTTTGCAGCTTCTACTATCATGTTTTTTAAAAGTTTCCATGCAGCTTGCAGGCATTTCATTCTTGTGACTGTTCCTTTTAATTTCCTTTTAACTAGCTTCCTCATTTTGTGTAGTTCTCCTTTTTGATGTTAAATGCTACTGTGGTGGGTTTCTTTGGAATATTGCCCCCTACAAGGATGTAAAATTCAATTACTTTATGGTTGCTATTCCTGAGTGGATCAGAATCTGTACACTACTTAGGACTAAGTCAAGAATGGCCTCTCCCCTTGTGGGTTCCAGGACTAGCTGCTCCAAGAAGCAGTCATTAATAGTGTCCAGAAATTTTATCTCTACATCCCATCCTAAGGGGCCGTGTTTCCAGTCAATATAGGGATAGTTGAATTCCCTCATTATTATTGTGTTTTCTGTTTTTGTAGCCCCTCTAATCTCTCTCAGTCACCATCACCATCCTGATCAGGTGGTTGGTAGTATATTCCTGCTGCTGTACTCTTATTATTCAAAAGCATTGAATTTCTAGCCATAGAGATGGTATGGTATTGTTTGATTCATTTAAGATTTTACTATATTGGACTCTATGCTTTTTTTCCCCCCACATATAGCACAACTTCTCCACCAGCGCAACCTACTTTGTCATTCCTATATCTTTTGTACCCTGATATTAAGTGTCTCATTGATTATTATTGTTCCACCAAGTTTCTGTGATGCCTATTATATCAACATCCTTATTTAATACCAGACACTCTCAAGTTCGCCCATCTTAGTATTCAAACTTCTTGCATTTGTATACAAATACTTATAAAATTTGTCAATATTTTAGTTGTGTGTCTTCATGTGATGTAACTGAATGGGACTCTTTTTTGTTTGACTGATCCTCTTCAGTTGCTATCTATACTCCGATGAACAGAACACAAGAACAGCCATACGGGGTCAGATCAATGGTCCATTTAGCTCAGTATCCTGTCTGTGACAGTGACCAGTGCCAGATGCTTCAGAGGGAATTAGCAAAACAGGGCAATTTCAAGTAAGCCATCCTCCTGTCATCCAGTTCCAGCTTCTGGCAGTTGGAAATTTATGGACACCTGGAGCATGGGGTTTCACCTCTGACCACCTTTGTTAATAGTCACCGATGGACCTATCCTCCATGCATTTATCTAATTCTTTTTAACCCAGTTACACTTTTGGCCTTCATCCCTGGCAATGAGTTCCACAAATTGACTCTGCACGGTGTGAAGAAGTACTTCTTTTTGTTTATTTTAAATGTGCTCCCTACTAATTTCATTGGGTGAGCCCTAGTTCTTGTGTTATGTTGAAGGGTAAATGACACTTCCCTATTCACTTTCTCCACACCATTTGTGATTTTATAGACCTCTATTATATCCTCCCTTAATCAATTTTCTAAACTGAACATTGCAACTCTTTTTAATCTCTCTGCTCATAGAAGCTGTTTCATACCCCCAATAATATTTATTACCCCTTTTTGCACCTTTTCCAATGCTAGTATATCTTTTCTGGATGTACCATGGATTTATATGGATGCATTATCAGATTTCGTATTAACTATCCCTTTCCTAATGGCTCCTAACGTTAGCTTTTTTGAATGCCACTGCACATTGAGCAGATATTTTCAGAATATGTCTGCACTGTATAGCTGTGTATGCAGAGCTATTGCAGCTGTGTTAGTCCCAGGATATTCAAGTGACAAGGTAATCTCTTTTATTGGACCAACTCCTGTTGGTGAGAGAGACAACCTTTCCAGCTTACACAGAGACTTGAATAAGAGTAATCTCGAAAGCTTGTCTCTCTCACCATCAAAAGTTGGGCCAATAAAAGCTATCACCTGCCCCCATCTCTGTACAGCTGGTGACAGCCTATAGAGCCCTCATTCTCAACCGGGGGTACACAGAGATCTTCCACAGGGTACATCAGCTCATCTAGATATTTGCCTAGTTTTACAAAGCACTACCGAAGTCAGTACAAACTAAAATTTCATATGGACAAAATAAGACAGTAAGCGATTTTTCAGTAATAGTGTGCTGTGACACTTTGTATTTTTGTGTCTGATTCTGCAAGTTTTTAAATGAGGTGAAACTCGAGGACTCCACAAGACAAATCCAGCTCCTGAAAGGGTTACGGTAGTCTGGGAAGGTTGAGAACCACTGCACTACAGCATGTCCAGGCAGCCTGTGCCAACGCTGGCCAGCTCCGACGGCTGGTGGCAGCGCACTGCGCAGGGACCAGAGCAAGTCACTCAGGTCCCCCTGTGGCTGTAGCGGCCATGGAGGCCGATGTCTCCCCTGCCGGGGACCGCACCGAAGGAAGTGGCGGGCCTCCGCTCTGAGGCGTTACTCTCCCAGGCCCCAGATGGATGAACATCCCGAGCGCCCACAGGAGTGAACCCACACTAGAGCTCTCCCGCCCAAAGGCCACCCCGCAGCCGCCGCCGCCCCCCGAGCGCGGCCAGGCCCCTGTCCCCTTACCCTGGCGTGGCCGTCTCCCCTTCTCAGCGCCTCTGCCACCGTCAGCGCCGGGCACCAGACCAGAACCGGCACGGCGCGTTGCTCAACCCTGCCCCGTCGGAAACGCGCACCCGGGCCGGAACCATTCGCTACCCGCGCAAGCAGGGTGGCCGGGCGCGTTTCCCCAGACCAGATGCGGAGTCTGTCGTTGCGGGCGCTTGACTACCGCGCTGGGGTGGCCTGTGGGGGATTTACACGTGGCCGGCCGCGCGCTGGGGCTGTTAGCAGAGTAGCCCCAGTTTCCACCCGGCTCGCTTTGCGGGAGGGACCCGCCGCTGGCTGCTTTGGAGTGTGTTCCTGGGAGAGGGCCTGGTGGGTTTCTTCCCTTCAGGTAACTGACGTGGGTTCCCCGCATAGGTGGGGCACGTGGGGCCCACCCTCGCCAGGCCTCAGGAGGGGCCTCCTCTGTAGGAGGAGCTGCAGGGTCAGGCTGCCCCCGGACCGAGCTGCCCCGTGTCTCCGGGGGGCTGAGGGGAGGCTGTCCCCGGACCGAGCTGCCCCGTGTCTCCGGGGGGCTGAGGGGAGGCTGCGCCCATAGACTGAATTGTCCACGGCCTCAGGCACTGGGAGGCTGACCCCAGGTTGCAGTGAAGTGGAGGTTTCCCCCGTTCACAAACATTCCGGGTAGTTGACATTTAAGAAACTATTTATGTTATCTCAGTGGGAGCTGGGGGGAAGTGAGGTTGGGGGCGATGAAGGATTTTGCTTTTTGTCTTTAACCGAAACATTTAATTAAAAAAAAACATTAATATCTCCTACCACCCTAAGCACTTTCAGAAGAAGAGCATTCTGGATGGTTTTAATCTGTCTGTTGTCTAATACTGTCATTCTGATTCTAAGGTGCCTTTCTCTTTTATGGGCTGGGGTGAGTTGAACAAGGGGAGATTTTATCTAGTTAAAATGTGCACTGAGATTTTGAAGTGCCTAATTATCAAAGCTGAGAATGTGCAAACATATTAAGTGCTTGTGCAGGTGGCCCACTATGTGTGTTATTGGCCTTTTGTGTGTGCCCCATATCCCAATTTGTACAGAGATATACCTATCTTCTAGAACTGGAAGGGACCTTGAAAGGTCATCGAGTCCAGCCCCCTGCCTTTACTAGCAGGACCAAGTACTGATTTTGCCCCAGCTCCCTAAGTGGCCCCTTCAAGGACTGAATTTACAACCCTGGGTTTAGCAGGCTATTGCTCAAACCACTGAGCTATCCCTCCCCATGTAAGTTGCTCCCTATCTCTTCAGAGTAATTTATGCTTACTCATTAGGTACGTGCAATGCATATACAGAGTTTAGATGCCCAATGTCTAGTTCTCATTAAAAACCATGTAAATAAACCTTCCTCATGAAAAAGAGACTGGAGAAATACTTAAGCTGCACTGTCAACTTAAAAATAGTATGTTGTCAACCCATGCTACAAATACATAACTGGTGCAATACTGGTTGAAAAACCATACTTCGAGTAATCATCAATGGTTCACTGACAAATTGGCAGTATGTATCTGCTTGGGCCCTGCAGGGGTCTGTCTTGGGTCTGGTACTATTAAATGTTAATGAATTGGATAATGGAGTGGAGAGTATTCTTATAAAATTGTGGATGAACCAAGCTGAGAGGGCTTGCAAGTACTCTGGAGGATAGGATTACAATTCAGAGTGACGTTGACAAATTAAAGACTTGGGCTGAAATCAACAAGATGAAATTCAATAAAGACAAGTGCAAAGTACAACATTAGAAAGGAAAAATCAAATGTGCGACTACAAATAGAGAATAATTGGCTAGGCAATAGTTCTGCTGAAAAGAAGTGGGCATGTTTAGTCTTGAGAAAAGAAGACTGAAGGGGATCAGATAACAGTCTTTAAATATTGTAAAGATTGTAAAGGCTTGTTATAAAGAGAACAGTAGGGATGTGAAATGTTAACCAGTTAGCCAGAAGCATTAGTCTTACCAGTTAACCCACCTTAACCCCTGGGCAGCCCTCCCCCTGGCTGGATCAGCCCTGACCCCAGCCGCGCCAGCCCTGGCCGGATTGGCCCCAGGTGCATTTCTGTGCCTGTATAAGCATTTTAGATTAGTAAAAGTGAGAATTTGAAATCCAGTGGATTTAGAACTGTTTTGTCTACTTTTTTTGCACTTCTTTTCAGTTTTGACCATGAAAAATAAAGAGACACATTTTTGGGGAATATTTATTTGCTTAAAAACAGATGCTTTCACTGCAACCTCTAAACAAAATTTTGGAAACATTTCTACTATTTTCACAAAATTTAAGGCCTCAATCTTGCAATTGGCTGTGTGCAAAAGTGGGCATGCACAATGTCAATTTCAGGATTGGGGCCTAAACTTGACCAAATTTAAGTTGACAGTGGCCTTTCAGTCCTCAAAGAGGGAGGTTTTTCTCCCAGTGGATGTGAAGTGAGACAGGTCCATTTCACACACTCAGTTATGAAAACATCTGTCTTCCACAGTCTTTGTTGTTAGTTATAAAATAGAATTGTATTATAAAATGAAAAGTAAAATCTGTTGGTTTTTTGGGTTGTGTAGGTTGGTTGTTTTGTTTTCAGGCCTATTACAACTGCTATCCCTTCAAGAAAAGTGTTTTTCTCTAACTTAAAAAGAAAATTCCCATCAGTAGTTTGGACATCCTAGTTCAAATTATCATATAAAGGCAATTTTTATCTTGGAGCACTAAATCAGTCTTTGAAAGTCTAACAAAATCACTTCACTTCTCTGTGCCTCTCTTTCCTCTCTCTCCCTTTGTCTGTCCTCTCTGTTTATATTGTAAGCTTTTTAGGGCAGAGTCTGTGACTTACTACACATTTGTTCAGTGCTTAGCACAATGGAGCATCAGTCTTGGCTGGGGCCACTACTGTAAAACAAATAATTAATATCTGTTGGTTGTAGTTACTTTTAGCAATGGCTCAGAAGCAACATTTTCATGCATTATAACCTGGATGAATTTTTATTACCCATCTTGTTTTGAACAGGAGTTGATAGTCATACTACCTTTTAAACACTTTTCCAATTTTTCTTCTCTCCTTTGCACAGGTGGAATCCCATTTAAATCAACAGTGTTTCATGATGTAGCAGAGATGAGTTTGGCCCCTTATCCGTTTTTGTTGTTTATGAAATAGTCCCACTGTTTTATACTCTGATAAACTTCAGTTAAAGATATGGGTTGCCCTCTAGAGGGAGGATTTAATGTTTTTTATACTTAGCTCTATGCTGCTTTTTTAAACTTCTGCTAAATGTTTAGGTCACTCTCCTGCAAAGGGATTTGAAAGAATCAATCTGTAGTTCTGGATAGAGCCTTGTTTGCTTTAGTGGGACCCTGCTCAGGAGTAAGGGTTTGAGTATCCTATTGTAAAATAGAAGCACAACCTACAATGTAAATCTCTTGTTGCTTGGAATAAAATGTGCATATTAGAGACTTGTTCTATTTATACCAGAGGTTTTCAAACTGCGAGGTGTGTTCCCCTAGGGGAACAGAGGAATGTTTGGCAGTGACACCAAATGGGGCTCTCACCTCAGTAGGCCCCCAGTTTGTGGGTCAGTGTCAACATCTGCGGCAGCTGCGCCGATTTCCGCTCCCAGCACCCTCCGCACCCAGTGCTGGCTCCACTTTCAGAGATGGTCGCAAGTGCCTTCCCCCCACTCAGAAAACTGAGAGGGGAGGGGCAGGTAGTATGTCTATTTTTATCTGGATATGGGGGGTACAACCAAAAATAGTAACTCGGGGGGCGGGGAGGGAACTCAGCTCAAAAAGTTTGAAAACTGCTGATTTATACTAAGATCTGAATCCTGCAAACACTTAGATCATAAAGTTACTCACAGGACTAAGTAGTCCCATTGAATTCTAATGGACTACTCACATAGATTCATAGATTCTAGGACTGGAAGAGACCTCGAGAGGTCATCGAGTCCAGTCCCCTGCCCACATGGCAGGACCAAATACTGTCTAGACCATCCCTGATATACATTTATCTAACCTACTCTTAAATATCTCCAGAGATGGAGATTCCACAAACACTTATGCCCATGCATAAGTGTTTGCAGGACTGGGATATAAGGTACTGATTCTGCAAATACTTAGGTATGTGCTTAACTCTACTACTGTGAGTAGTTCCATTTCCACTTTCTTTTCAATATGACTTCACAGAGTAATAAAGTTAAGCATGTATGTAAGTGTTTGCAGGATAAGGGCCTAAAGTTGCAAGGGACATGGATCATATCTTCAAATATATGTCAAGTGCTATGCATATCCCTGGTGTCAATACACAGATGGATTTTGTCACAGTTATTTGTAGTAAAACTTGCAGACAAGTCGGAGGCAATGAACAAAAATTCATGGAAGCCCATGACACGTCCGTGACTTTTCCTAAGAATAAGGGGGATGGGTTTGACTGCTGGGGGGGAGCGGGGAGACAATAGCGCTGGGTCCCCTGCTTGCAGCAGCGGCGGTTAACAGCTCTGGGGCTCCTTCCGCTGGTGGCTGGGAGCTCCGGGGCTGGCAGCGGCCCCTGCCCCGGGACATGAGGCTGAAGCAGAAAATGTCATGGGGGTCTCTGAACGTCATAGAATCCATGACTTCTGTGACCTCCGTGACAAAATTTTATCCTTAATTATTCTGGATAAAATGTCATCATTCGTACTAGATGTAAGTGTCTAAAAGAAACTTTTTATTTCAAACTACAGTCTTCACGGCTGTGGATGTGAGGGAGATTTCCAAACCTGAGCCATTCTTTTTAGGTGACAGATCTGAGGAACTGTCCCAGATTGAGGTATCATTAGAGGAGGTTTTGGAATTAATTGATAAACTAAATAGCAATAAGTCACCATAACCAGATGATATTCACCCAAGAGTTCTGAAGGAACTCAAATGTGAAATTGCAGAACTACTACTGTAGTCTGTAACTTATCATTTAAATCAGCTTCTGTACCAGATGACTGGAGGATAGCTAATGTAACGCCAATTTTTAAAAAAGGGCTCCAGAGGTAATCCTGGCAATTCCAGGCCTGTGAACCTGATTTTAGTACCGGGCAAACTGGTTGAAACTATAATAAAGAACAAAATTGTCAGACACACAGATGAACATAATTTATTGGAGAAGAGTCAACATGGTTTTAGTAAAGGGAAATCATGCCTCACCAATCTACTAGAATCCTTTGAGGGGGTAAACAAGCATTTGGACAAAGGGGATCCAGTGAATATAGTGTACTTTGCTTAAGAGCCTTTGGTGAGGGACCTTGTCAAAGGCTTTCTGAAAATCTAAGTAAGTTGCCATGGGATAAGAGGGAAGGTGCTCTCATGGATTGGTAACTGGTTAAAAGATAGGAAACAAAGGGTAGGTATAAATGATCAGTTTTCAGAATTGAGAGAGGTAAATAGTGGTGTCCCCCAGGGGTCTTTTCTGGGACCAGTCCTATTCAACTATTTTCATAAATGATCTAGGAAAAAGAAGTAAACAGTGAGGTGGACAAAATTTGC